TCCCTAACCGAATGGATCCAATTTCCATACCTAGTCCCATACTTTTGTTTGATAATTTTGTACCATAGACCTTCCTCTCTATTAGCTAACTTACCCCACCATTTTCCAAGTAAAGAAAGATTAAAATTCCTAATGTTCTTAACCCCTAGCCCTCCTTCTTTTTTGCTTTTACAAATATTCTTCCAACTAACCCAATGGATTTTTCTAGACATCTCACACCCTCCCCAAAGAAATGCACTTCTAATTTTGTCAATTACCTTCACAATACCTTTAGGAATGAGGTACACGGACATGAGAAACATAGGTAATGATGTGAACACTGAATTGAGCAAGGTAATCCTCCACCAAGGGAAAGCCATTTGCCCTTCCAAAGGGATAACTTCTTTTTGAAAGATTCGATTAGAGGATGCCACATTGATAATCTTCTATAATTGCCCCTGATTGGAACTTTGAGAGAATTAAATAGCATCTCACCAATTTTGCAATTTAATAGATAAGCCATCCTCAGTAACCAATCCCCTTCTACATGTATTCCCATGAGTTAGCTTTAGGAGTAATTAATTTTCAATCCAAAAACTAGTTCAAAGGCCCTCAAGATGCATTTTATTACCCATATGTTGTTTTTTGAGGCTTTCCCAAACATAATTGTATCATCCGCAAATTGGATGTGGGAGAGGCAAACATCACTGTTTCTAATTTGTACTCCTTCAAACATATTATTCTTCATTGTAGTAAAGAGAATCCTATTTAACCCTTCAACCACAATCAAGAGTAAGAATGGAGAAAAAGGGTCACCTTGTTTCAAACCACAACTAACATTGAATTGCTTGGTTGGGCTGGAATTCACTAATATAGATAATAGACCAACGCACAAACACTCTTTGATCTAGCTCCTCTTGGTGAGACCAAACCCCATTCACATCGGCATGTAATCAAGGAAGCTCCAGCTAATCTTATCAAAAGCTTTCTGAAAATCTATCTTGAAAATAAAGCTCTTTTCCTTCTTTCTTTTGGCTTCATCAATTACCTCATTGACAATCACAACTCCTTTTGAAAGTTGCCTCCCTTTTTTGAATGCCATTTATTGATCCTCAATAACTTCAGATATCACCACACATAACCTATTTGCTAAAAGCTTTGCAGTGATCTTGTACATAGCAACTATGAGTGAGATAGGCCTATATTCTTCTATTTTTTGTGGGCAATTGACCTTCAGGATGAGTGTTATGAATGAGACGTTTAAGCCAGCCACCAATCTCCCATTCTTGTGAAACTCCTGGACAAATCCCACCACATCTTGCTTGATGATGTTCCACATTTTTCTAAAAAATTAGAAGTTGAAGCCATCTAGGTTAGGAGCCTTAGAACATTGACAATCCCAAATTGGCACTTTAATTTCCTTCTTTGAAAATGGTGCTATGAGTATGTTGATATGATCTTGTGAAATTTGCTTAAAGTTAATTCCCTCAAGAATGGGTCGAGTCCACTTTTCTTCCATGAAAAGTTTTTCAAAGTGCTTAGCTACTCTTTTGATTTCCTGCACACCCTCAAGTTGTTTGCCCTTGATTTCCACATTGTTAATTTCCTTTTTCTGTTCTTGCTCCTTAGGCAATGATGGTAATATTTAGTGTTTGTGTCTCCATCTATAAACCACGCCTTTCTTGCTTTTTGTCTACCCATACCCTCCTTGATCTTCAACTTATTCTATAAATCTAGAAATAACTCCTTCTTGGCTTTAATCTCAAATGCTAACAACTGGCCATTTTCTTCTTTAATATCTAAATTTGCAATCCCTTCCTTAACTGCCATGATTGTCTGATTTAGATTGGAGTATTCTTTAATGCTCCACTCTTTGATCTTGTGTTTGACAAACTTAAGTTTTTCTTTTAGTTGATATCCTTTCCATCCTTTAACTTTAATTGTTTTCCATGCATTAGTCACCAACTCATGAAGGTTTGGGTGGCTCCACCATTCATTAAACATTTTGAAAGGCTTGGGGCCCTAATTGATTATCTGATGCCTTAGAATGATTGGACAATGGTCAGAGACTAATCTTTTCAAACCCCATGTCTGGTCTCACTCCAAGTGGAAAGCCAATCCTTTGAGAGCAAAAACCTATCCAAACTACTCATACTTGAGCCATTTGGATGATACCATGTATATTTCCTTTCAATTAAAGGCAAATCCACCAATTCTGCCGCTCTTATAAAGCTGTCAAAGTCTTTCATGTTCTTGGTTAAGTTGTAATCTCCATTTCTTTCAAAGGGATTTCTAATGCTGTTGAAGTCACCAATTAAGCACCAACAACAAACTCTACTTCCTTTTAGAGTTTTCAGTTCAGCCCATAAATTTCTTCTAGCAGCAACATCACATGGGGCATATATGTTTAGAATGGAAATAGGAGTTTCTTCCTCCCCCCATGATCTTGAGACTCCAACATAATTATCCCTTTCCAAATGGCTACAATTTTTCAACATTCTATTGTTCCATATACATATCAAACCTCTAGATTGCCCACAAGAAGGTTTAGCAACAAATTCAAAGTCCTGTTATGTTGATTCTTGAATAGATAGAAAATCAACTTTTTCCTTGCATGCCAAATGTTGAACTTCTCTCTTTTTACCCGTACCCCCCAATCCTCTTATGTTGAAAGAAAGAAAAATCATGGGTTATGATTATTGACCTTCCCCACATCAGCTCCTCCGGACTCCTTTAATTGCTGCTTTGTCTCTTGATTCCATGTTGTCAATTTGTTGCAGAACTTTTTCCTCGTTCCCAAGAGCCACCACTCTTACACTCTTTGCAAAATTCAAAATTTCCATTGTTAATTTCAGTTAAGACTCAGAGGTAATACCTCGATTATGATTAACAATGGTGCTTTCAGAGATTGAATCTCCTACCACTAGTTTTAATGGGTCTAGAAAGAAAACTGGGCATAGTTTTAATCTTCATTTCTTTCTCATTGGTCACCGTCTCTTTTTTTATCCCAACCCCTCTTCAGCTAGCACTTGGGCTTCCTTATAGATTGCCAAGCAGGATTTAGATTTCTTCCCATGTGATTTCATTTTCCTTCTCATTTGCCTTTCATCTTTGCCAATCCAATGATTGATGGGACCTGATTCACTAGCAAAGCCATCCCAGAAGGAGTCCTCTAATTTATCACCATCTGACTCGTCCTTGTCCGTTGCCATGTGTTGGCCTGAATTGACGTTTGTGGAGTTGGACCTAGAATTATTTTTGTTGATGGGGCCTAAATTTGGAGTTGTTTTTAAAGATCCAGGGTTACAAATCCCTGTTTGTTGGGCCAACTCAAGCCCTAAAAGTTCAACAAAAAACTGCCTTTCAATTTCAGTGGGTACATAACCGTTATTGTTTCCACTTTCCCAGATGACTGTTTGATTATCTTTCAAAATACAACTGTCTACTAAATTATCATCACTACATTGCGGCACCTTGTAAGGACAGGTCCAAGGTGCCAAGCCTCGGACTGCTACAGTAATTCTTTTATGACCGAGGTGAGGGATAAATCCAAAGCTTCCCGCTCAAATAGTTGCATGACAATGACAATAAGCATGCCCACACCTGATCCCTTATGATGAGCGGCACAACAGGTATGGTGGACATCCGTGCATCTGAATACCTCTCAAATTCCCGGTCCCAGAATAATCGTCTGGATAGACACGTCAGGCTCCGATTATCTTACTCGGCATGCCACGTGGGTTCCTCATTGGATCCTATAAATACCCCCCCCGAGCCACGTCAAAAGGTAATTAAAACCAACCCTAAGCTCTTTTTATCTCTGCTCTAAAGGTAGCCCCAATTACTGCTAACTTAAGCATCAGAGTGTCTACCCCGAGTTTCACCTCGGGGCTTTGCAGGTCATCCCGGAGTGCAGACGTAGATTAAAGAAGGACTTCTGGTTTGGTGCAATTACACACCTCTAAAGAATCTATGACCTTTACTGACCCAATCAATTGCAGACTTTAGGAATTGCTTATCTTCCAACTACCACAATCTTTGAGTGGGATTTTGCCATCGATCCTTCTTTCTTCATTATTGTCAACGACTACAAACTTTTCCACTGCTTGGACATGGCTGAACACTACATCATCATCATCGTTCTTACTATCTGAAGAAGTATCGCGCCGGAAGCTGGAGATGTTGCCGGAAAAACCATCATCCAAAGACTCATTTGATGACCACTACCCCGAATCGACCCCTATAGGATGGGAGGATGAAATGTGATCAAATTTTAATGAAAATAATCCATTGGATGACTCTTCTTCTCTTCATCGAATACAATATATGTCTTCATTAATTCTAAAACTCAAAGCCCTGGATATGGCATTCATTTCACTGGTAGAAATAAGAATCCTTGCCACATCCAATCTCTTCTTAGCACTAGTGCTTTCATCGAATGAAATAAATTTGCCCCAAAGATTTGCTAAAGTAGAGAAGAAATTTAGTCCCCAAACTTGCAGAGGAACCCCAAATAATTTTATCCAAACAAATCTCTCACTAGCAACCACGTAGCATATAGATAGTTAACGGTCTGAATATACAGAAACCTACATATTAGTAGCATAATTTTTAAAAGTTTCCATTGAGTCCTTTATATTTTGATCGAAACTAGTCTTAATATACTTTTTTAGGTTGCCATTTAGGCCCCCAATTTTTCATTCTTACAAAAAAGGACATATATATTCAAACCAAAGTCGGTCTGAATATATTTTTTGTAACCACTTTCCTTAAATATTCAGACCGTTTGCGGTCTGTAATTATGGCATTATTTTATTATATTCTGAATATTCAAACTGTTTATGGTCCGTAAATTTCAATTTTATAATCACGACTTGAATTTTTTTACCAAAATATACGGTCCAGTTGCAGTCTGAATAGTTTAATATACGAACTGATTTTTTGTTGGTCCGTATATTTTATTATTTCATACCATGTTTTTTCAGTTCAACTATACGGACCAAGATTGGTCTGTATATATATGTTTAGACCAAGATTGGTCCGTATATATATGTTCGGACCAATTTTGGGGTTTTTCGGACCGACAATATGCATTCCCTACAATAGTGCTAATGCCAAACAACTGAAAAATAATACATATGTGTGGGTAGGTTGCATTGGGAACAAACACTTGGTTAAAATTTTTTTTTTTAAAATAAAATGAGAGAGTGGGGGAGAGAGAGTGAATACTTATAAATAGTGGTGTTTGTATATATAAATCAATTTTGGAAGCATAAAACAAGAGTTTTTTTTTTTTCAAGAACCGTAAAATAAGAGATTTAATTTTATAAAAATTAAGTATATTCTTGAACTTTGATTACTCTAACTGGTTTAAAGTGACACAAAATAAGGAATTATAATTAGTTAAAATACATAATTTTGAAAGATATAGTAGGATAAGGATACATTTTGTTGATTTC